AAAAGAAAAGAAAAGAAAAGAAAAGAAAAGAAAAGAAAAGAAAAGAAGGCACTGAGGGGGAAAAAAAAGACAAAAAAGTCAAGGTCTCAGCGCAGCAGAGTAGTGTGTGGGAAGTGCCACTCGTGGGCACAGCCACGTGGGAGGAGATTCGCCCGGACACTTTGCAGCTAAGCCTGCGGAGAGCGGCGAGACCGTCCCGTCCCGGTGGCGGGCGATGGGTGCCCTTGGCGGGCGGGAGTCCCCGCTGCCCCAGGAGGGCTGGCTGCGCTCGCCGCCGTCTCTCCCCGCCAGACATGTGCCCGGTAGACCCCCGAACAGTGGCATTCCAGATAGGGCTGCGGAGAGGCTCTGGGAGTGCCGCTGTCCTGGTTAAGGCAACAGTGAAACTGCCTCCGATGGCACAGCAACGAAATCAACCCCCGGGAGTGAGAAAACCAAATATTTTCCTATTCGGGGAGTCGGAGAGGGTGAAAAATGAGGCTGAGTGGTAGTTCTATCAAATTAACATGCTCTGTCCCGCCCTTTAATTCCTATTCCTTCAAAAGCAAAGAGATTTGGTGAGGAAGGGAAAGGTGCTTTCTCTGGAAAGACAAACTGCTCGGGAGTACCAGGTGCGGGACTGTCCCGTCCCGCGCAGCGCCGGCACCGAGCGGGACCCTGGGAGACCAACCTGCTACTTACCCGGCGGCTGCTCACGGGGCGGATTTTGGTTTCAGAGGCTACTCGGAAAGGAAATCATGCGTTTTCAAATACTGGATTTTGATTAATGGATGCATTTTAAGGCAGTGCCCGATTCTGAGTTCTCACACAGTTTGACATGGAAATTGGATGAACTTTTCTTTTGTTTAGGATTACTATGACAGAATATTAAATCTTGTGCTTCCTTTGACTTTATTGACCTGGCCGGCAACACAGAATCTGATTCATGATATGAAAACTGTTTACACCAGTGTTATGTATTTTTCTTTGGGGTTTATTAGAAGCCTATTCATGTTTTATGTTTTATTGCTCTTAGCTTTCGCTGTCGCTGCCTGCTTTTCATTTAATTTCGACATTTGACGACCGCTTTTTCAATACAAAAATAGTTATAACTGTTAATACTATAATTAGGTATTTGTTGATGCTATTGAAGAATTCCAGTTCACTGCGCTACAAAAAAGCTCTCGGCCGGCTCTCTGTGAGACAACTGCTACCACGGAGGGATTGTGTCGCACCTCACTGGGTCATAAAGCTGAAATTTGGTTGTTTCTAAACGGAGTTCACTTTATTTTAGAGAGGACAGACGAGATTTCCTAACTGAATGCTGGTTTTGCTCAAGATATACTAATGGATTTTATTTAGATTGACAGTATAATTCAGATTGATAGCATCTTGTCATCTGACACTTCGGCATCGCCAAAGTGTGTAGGCTGAAATACTACTTTAGTTCTTGTGTTTATCATGAATTTGCTTTCCAATAGTAGTGCAATATGAGGGCAATGACTGGAAAAGGAAGAGAAGGATGTCCTGGGCTGCTGTGATGAATTTCGTCAGTCAGACAGACCCAGAGATAATATTCCTCCACCTGGATACAGAAAAATTCTTCTCCATTTGTATATTTTTAAATTTGTTGTAATAAGAGGTCAGAA